TTCAGATCATTAGCTACAAAACATGATTGAAAGTTGAATAATGCTGTGCAAAAATGTGTAGGCAAATTTGCATACACACCCCCAGTATCACTTGTAGATAGCCAGTTATGTGCAGAACAGACTGACCTACTAACAAAAATTGAGGTAACAAATTTAGGCAGGACAAACCTTCTAAGAACCACATTGTGAAAACAAGCATGCTTGAGGAGTGCAGCACAATGGAGCATTGTGTGCTGTGATAGAGAAAAATAAATTGATCTCAAAAAAAGATCTATTGTTTCTCTTTCAATTGGTTGGTTCACAGTGCAATGATTTTTTACGGACAGGACCTCTGTTTCAAATCAATGATGGCTCAGGCTCGGCAGCACAAACCAAAAGATTGCATTTGTGAAAAATAAAATAAAATAAAATAATAACTCAAATTTGGATGCAAAACAGTGTGTTGAGGTAGTTAAACATTTGGATAATCCATCAAAGGATCAGCTACTTTTTGATCAAAGTGAATTTTACTGATTCAACAAACAGAATAAGTAATAAAACTAAAAGCAATGGAAATAGCACAGTATTGTTTGGTTTATGAAGATATAATGGTGGCAAATATCACCTATATGCATGTGTAGGGTTAGGATTCTACTTGAAGGTTTGCTCCATTTTAGTACACCATCACACATATATATAACAGGTGGATCATTATGATATATTGTCTACATTGTGTTCATCATTTTTATAACAATCTCTTTGGAAAATATTATTAACTATTTAGACAGATATGATTAATAGCATTTCTGATACTAATATATAACAATGCTGAATGAAACACTAGTCTAGCTCAAATGAGTTGTCAATCTATATTAAAGGTTTGTGAACACCTTGTGACCTGAACGCAATGTGAGAGACTTGTTGTATCATATTAAGGGATATAGAATTATCATGCTCTGATTACTTGCTGGACAATAAGGAATCTTGCTCATGTGGTTGTGAAAAAACAGTTGTATGTAGTTTGAAATGTCCAACATCCACAGATCAAGACATGTTACTAAACAACAATAATTAACTGCATATGTCATTTGCAACATGTCATACTGTATTAAGTTCAGAACTAAGTCTAATACATGTCAAAATTTAACAAAATCAAGGGAAAGTGAATTGAGGTATATATTATCAGAAAAACCAAAGAAAGAGTATATTACCTCGCCAGTGAATTGGACAGTGGTGTATTTGTTGTCGATACCCGAAGTTCCTTCAAAAACCTAACCAGAATAAAACAATGCTAAGATATGCACAAAATTAGCTTTCAGAAGCAAAAAACAGTACTTCATGACAAGGTTTAAAATAATGATCTATTAGTGGTTTCCAAAATCTATCTTCGGTGTGGCTTTTAGGATGATGTACAATGTTACTGTTTTTGTTCCTATAATTTTTGTCAAAATAATGCCATTCAATTTGGCTTGATACATGTTTTGCTCAGTTCCATAATGAATATTGTTATTGTCAGTCTTTCAGTTCAAGTTTATTCAGATATAATGTGTTTTAGCTCAAATATTCATACAGTAAATCTCTTAAAAGTTCAACTATAAAACTTTGACACAACATTTGCCTTGTTTTGCCCAGTTGCATCACTAGCTATTAAGCATGTAGGTCCATCCTTTTAACACAAGAGGACATGAACCAGACAATGAATACCTAGACTACCGAAAGAAGAAAAGACAAATGTATAATGAACTGGAGAGATAGAAAAATGTCTTCACAACCCTCTGCACCTGTAGACCAAACAAACTGGCTTGCATATGTGAATCTAAGACAAGAACTTCATATTTGGTTTTCCAGGGTCAGTTCGTATCAACACAGCGGAGCTCTAAATAGGGAATAAAATTTTGAATACTTTAAGGTGTCACAGGCTATAAGCTATACGAAGATTCAAAGTGGCCTAAGCAGGATTCTAGTGAAAAAAGAAGTATTTAAAAACAGAAAAGTCATTTAATATATTAGCACCTGTACAACAGCTTTTTCACCATCGACTTCCAGGACCTGACCGCGTCGTATGGTGCCATCTCCTAATCGTATATTAACAATCTCCTGGTACTTGGGGCCCTGAAAGGAATTGGTGACATTGAGCAACAAATGCCCAAGAAACTCAGACAACTCCAAAATTCATTAGAACGCATTCATTAAAATAAGAAGACATTGGGGAGAAAGTTAGACAGGAGATAAGGTAAAATGATACCTTCACTTTCTCCAAGATGACTAGAGGTCCTGCAACTCCAGAAACAGTCCTGTACTCTGTCACAAAAATGTAAAATTATAGGTACTTTTGTCATATAACTGAACCACAGAAAGGCCACAGAAGCCCAAAATGCATCATGGGCTATAAAAAAAATGGCACAATGGAACTGGAGAAATGTTTCAAAATAATTGCCCTTTCAATAGCCTGAGTCTTTGAGAATGGAAGAAAATGAGATAGTCCATTTGAGGTAATATTAACTCATCCAACATGTATGGGATTGGATTATCATATCTACTATATCAGCCAACATGGTGATCCCTTTATGTGATTTCAATTGGAATAGTGTACCACTTAATGCAAGCACTGAATCAAAATTACACTGTCTCATGAAAAAATACCAGGATTTGCTCTTATTTCCTTTCCCAAAATTAACTTGCAAAATGAATCATCTTCAAAAAAGCTGTATGGGTTGCTGCTTCTGCATATGACCAGATATTAAAGACAAAGGAGATGCACATGAAACATGGCTTTTTATTTTAGCATTCATGAAGAACAACAGTTCACTCATTGCACCTGACAAAGAATGTAAGGTACTGCTTCATCATACTCAAACTTTTCATTCTAAACCAATGTTCTATGTCATTGAATCCTCACCTCTTATATTTTTCAAGGGTTCATGGACAAGAACGAAGGGCTTCAAATCATGCTGACTTTTAAATAATAATAATAATAATAAAACTTGCTTCCAGTTCCTTGATAATGGAGAAATTGTTACAAAAATTAAAACATGAAATCCAGATATGGTTCCCTTCTAAAGCATCATTCATTGTAATATGAGCAGTCACGTTATACTATCATTTTACCTAAAATTTAAAGGATGTGGATCACTAAATTTCATAATAGCAACTATAGAACTTTAATATACGGAAAAGGGATAATGGGTAATATCTCCAAGAAAATTACTTGTTCTGACATTCACTCTAGCATTGTAAGCAATAGACACCATCTTGGTTTCTAAAGAAAGCATACACATAATAGATATTATAACTGTATATTAAGTTGGATATTTTACTTGGTTCACCCTTTATTGTTATTCTCATAATGCAGCTCAGCCCTTATTCAAATATATCTGCAACTTTGTTTTAAAAGGTCTAATCTCCTGGCAAAACGATTGTGAGTTTCACCACTGAATTTCTAAGTGCATCCTACCAATCTAAAACAATGCATAGCTTATTCTTCCAAGACTTAGATATGTTGACGTTCTTAAAATAAAAAATGTATTGGACTTGGATAAATTTCTAATAGTATACAAGTCAAACATTCGTAGCTTATTCCATATACTGCATAGCCTTGTATTCAAGGAGAACTAAAAATGCATCAAGTTTCTTGATATGGATTGTTAACAATGAACCACAAAAACATAGATCAAACAATTCTTTTATAAAAATATCAGCTGGAACAAGAACAGCCAGACGATGAGATCTTATATACCCATGCCAATTTCCAGGGATCCCTCCTCCATGTCTACGAGCTTCTTTGCCTCGCCCATGCTAACAACCTGAAGAAAGCAAGAAGCAACAGTTTGCAGTCCAACCATAAACTAGAATAAACAATTTTCCAATCACCTAAGTCAAGAAAACGAGATAAATCAAACCACCCGTTGGCTCAGGCTGTTAAGTCATGATGCCAATAAAGACAAAGTTGTCAACTTTTCACACAGATCAAACAAGACTTTCCGCATTACTATTGGCAAAACCCCAACATGAAGGATTTTTCAAAACCCTTATAGGTAGAGCAGCAAACGGAAAAACCAAAGGGATGATCTGATTCGAAGTCAAATTATAAAGATGCCAACCAAAAAATGCTACAGCCTAATAATCGAGATAGAATCGATGGTATACCCATTGCAGTTAAAACCTACAGCTCCAAGATTTCTAAGTTGGCTATCAAACTCAAATTTCTCCCCTTTTGCCTCGAACAAGATCTCAGGCTCTATCAATAAAACGACAAAATTTGGATCGAATATAGTACCTTAAGAACCCATCGAAGATCCTACATAAAGAATGCGTCAATGGCGCAATTGATCGAGAGGAGCATACGAAAACCATAAATAATACGATCTACCAGAGCAGCAGATGCCAAATTATCGGAGTCATATCATGATCGAAAATCCAAAAAATCACAAGCCACAGCAGAAACCGATACCGATTACATCGAGAAAACAGATCGGAAGAGAAGCAGACCTCAGATTGGATCGACAGTGGGAAGGAGAAAGCGATGGAAGGGGGATGATGCGATGGGGGAGGAAGAAATAATTATAAATGAGATAAGAAAACGGGCGTTTATAATGGCTTCTACGCCGCTCTGGCGAGCAACGATCGGGGCGAGAACAGGGGCCCGCCCAAACGGCACATGGCGACCATCGGATCGGTGATGGACTGTCGATTGGATGATCGATATCGTCTGATTGGCCAACGTGGTCCACGTGAATCCTCTTACGGGGACGGAGGGACGGACAGCTGATCGATCGAACTCATTGCCCGAGGAAAACAATATTCTAACGGAATGTGGTATTAACACATAACTAATTTATCACTTATTATATTTTAAAAGGAACAGCAACATATCCCGTGATCGAATTCTATTTTCGCTATTTATTCTTTTAAAAAGACTGAATTATATGTAATTTTGTATTATCCCTCTTCATATTCCAGATGTCATTACAAAAAATGCTCAATGATAATAAACTATTAAAAAGATCTGCTGAGCCTCGAGACGTCGGCTCGCTTAGCGTGTTCTTCCATGGCAAATCTTCTCCTCGAATGCGTTCGATTGCTCTGCCCTTCTCCCGCCCGCCCCCGCATTCACTGATATGGCTACATCGCCTGCCGAAATCGCCCGCCTGTTTGCGGAGCTCGCCTCCCGTATCCAGAGCCCCCAAGATGACACTGATGGTGGCGATGGCGTTGGCCCTGGGGGGGAATTGGCCTCGGCCATCTCTTCCCTCGCCGCCTCACTCAGTTTCGGCGACGCACCCAGGGTTGGGGTTTTGAACGCGGCGCTCTCACTCATGTGCTTCAGAGCCTCGGAGGTCTTCCCATTCTTCTCTCTCTCTCTCTCTCTCTCTCTCTCTCTCTCTCCTGAGATGTTATGTGTTGCTTTCTTTGAATAGTTGTTGTGCTGCTTCCAGGTGCACAGAGCTAGGGTTGAGTGCCTCGTCGGGACCATCGTCGCGATGCTCTCCTCCTCCGTTTCTTGCAGGGTCTTGCGTCTTCCAGATAAAAGGGATGAAGGATTCCTGAGGATCGGGACCTCGTTCTCTTCTGAAGATTGCGTACAGTTGATACGAGTCTGTGTGGATGTTTTGGCTAGTTTGAAAGGCCATTGTGGTTAAGTGCTCGGCATTTCTTTTCTTCCCCTGTTATAATTCCATAAATTGTTAGATTCTTATGTAGTTTCTTGGATTTCTCTTGATAGGCTGTGGTAGATCCTTAGCATCTTTCTAGATATGATTACGGCTCTTGTGCATGATGTCAGGCTTTCTGATTGGTCTATGTAATTCACTGTCTTGCAATGGGCATTCTGTGGCAGGAGCAGAGAGATAAATTAATACTAGAGTAGTTTCAAAGTCATATTGCAAAAACTTATTGTATGTAGCTTACGACCACTTGGAAAATGTGACAAATACTAACCAAAGGGTAGAATCAAAGCACAAACTTTTTACTTACTAAGCTGTCAAATATTCTCTTGAGGAGTGAAGACTTGTTCTTGCTCTCATTAGTTGTAGTATATGTTAAATCCTTGAAACACTCAGTAGATCTCATGTGAAGAAAATTTAAGATATCTTGATGTCCTTCTGTTGTGGTAGCATTTTAGTGTCCTGCATTGTGATGACTACAATTGTCTTCTCTCTGAGAACATTAAGATATGAATATGAGGAGCATAATGTTTTGATTCTAACTTGATATGTTGTTTTCAATACGTTGTTTGTTTAAAATGTTATGGTTTTGTTCTTTTTCTTTCTTGCGTTACACATTAGTCTCCTTCAGGTGCAGGAGATTTGCATGCTCTTCTATATGCTGTGGTGAAAGCAGTGATATCATCATCTACATATCAAGGTTTACTTCCTTCATTGCCGATAGGCTACTTGAGAAATGAAGACACAGATTGTGGTGTCCAAACTGAAATATCAAAGCTAGCATACTCTTTATCTGATCAGACATCTTGCACTGGACATGAATTTCCATTGAGGTACGCTTGAGGAACACATTTCTAGGTGGCATGTATTTGGTTACCCCTAAATGTGTAATTGTCAAATTAACTAAGCTTTAAAATAACTTGCATTATTGACTTCAAACGGCAACCCTGTATTTTTTCTAGGTGTCCTGTTAAGTCCTATGTATTCAATTGTTGGACAATCATCTCTTCATGCTTTTGTAGAGATTTTTCTTAAGGTGGACTTTTAAATGTATTTCTTTATGTATGTTGCATTTACCTTAGACTAGTTGATAATTCTTACTACTGTCTGGAATTCTTTACTACTGACAGCTTAAAGAGTAGGACTCTTCTCATTATTGTATTATTTCTTTGTACTTTTTGTGGTAGGTTACAATTTTGGTATCTTGATCCATTGATTTTAAAGCATGACATATCGGAAATATTAAAGGAAGTAATTCGAAGACCTTTCCTTTGTTTGAGGAAAGAATTGCACGATCGAATGAGTTGGCGCAACATAATAACTTGTTTGGTAACCTCTCCAACTTTCTTCAAAGAAACAAAGGCCACATTGCATACATGGTTTCTATTCACGTAAGTTCCATCTTCAGGAAGCCATCTCACATATATGACATGCATATTTATATGCTTTCCATGGATGATCAGTTTTTTCTTTGTTCTGCTTAAGGTTTTTACTTCATGAAATTGGTTAAACCCTGAAATTTTGGTTCCTTTTTTATTTGTTTTCTTGTATTATGCTTTATCAAATGGTCATATATGTGCCTAATACCCAAGTGCACTGGCCAAATTCACTTACTTGCTGATGCATCCTTTGTATATTAGTTCCTTAAATATTTCCATATGCACTTACCATTTTTGCTGACTGATTCTGTTCCACTATCTTTCCATTAGTTCTAGTGACAGACTTCCTGTTTTAGGTGGTTGCTGCATCCAATATTTTAAGATTTTGATTATTGACCGTAAGATTTTCAAAGCCCATCTACAAAGCTTAAGGGGTTATTTGAAAGGGGCATAGCAACATGGACTGATAGAGCTAGGTGGAATGTTGTGAAATGAATAATGTTATGCTTTATTTTGGAGCTCTATATTTAACTCCGTGTACATATGTTGCTCTCGCAGTTGTACTAGTATGAGAAATTTCTGATATTTGCTATATTCTTGGAACTGCTAAAATATAGGACATAGAAGTACGACCAAGTGATGTACTCTTTACATGTACTTAATTATGTCTATTGGTACAGTACAATATTCAAGCCATTTTATGCTCTTTTTGAAGTGCTCTTCTATGTATGTTGATATAGCAAAGCATATCAAATGTTAGTCATTGTTCTCTGGTTAAGGATGTCAGGGAAACGCATCAGTCAGAAACTTTGATTTAGATTTTATACTTCAAATTTTCAAATGTGCTGGGTTTCGTCCATCATGTATCACCACATAGTTGGAGGTGCTTTTGAAAGGCCAGACATTTGGATAGATTGGTTGTTTTGCTATATGTATGTAACATACTATTTAGTATGCTCAAGCCAGACTTAACTGTCGAGGACATTTTCTTTCCCTTTTTTAGATGTCTTGAGTAGTTCTAGAGTTGCCTTGAATGTGAGTTTTAATTTACTATTGAAATGTTTTTTAGACCAATATGAGAATTTATTCTGGTACTGGAGTATCAGGAACATTAATTCATCTCTATGGGAAATGAATGAAAATGTGAACTTTGAACAATATTCAAAAGCTTGTTTGGGCAGCTTTTTAATTTATCTGTTACATTTGTTATCTCATATTTCTCTTTCATGTCCAAGGTTAGTTGTTCTTACTTTTGATTGGATGTTATGGAACATAATGGAGCTTGCACATCATCTTTTATCTTGCTTGTGTTCTTACTAGTGGATTGATTATCTGGACAGGGGTTTGACATCTGTTTTGGATCTTAAGATTGGCATAGTTTTATCAGTGTTAGATATACTTTCGAGGCCTATGTGGTGGGGAGTGCCAGTTGAATTGGGATTGAGATTTCCATCTTCTTATGCCTATTTCTCCATCAGACATCATGATCTTCTGACCATACTAACTGGACAACTATCATGCAAAAACCTACTGCATCTAGTTCAGTACATAAAAACAGAAGTCGCTATCTTATCAAATATATGCCAAAGTGCTTCTCATCCTTCAGTTACAAATTACAATCATGAGGGCTTAGCTAATGTGATAGGTAGTAATTCTGCCTGGTAAGCACATCTGAATTCTACTTCAGATTGAGTGGTAGCTTTTCTCAGTTCTTATGTGAACTGATCATCCATGCCAATTTGATTTGCTGCACTGCAGGTCAGTTTTGATAGACTTTCCAGCTTGGTTCTATTTTGCAAATGCACTAATCTTCTACAGAAATAGCTCTCAAGATTACTTGTCCGAAGCTCTATGTGGTAGATTGAGAACTGAGCCAGTGAATGATTTGGAACTGCATCGAGCTGCTCTTTACTATATTTCCTGGGTTTTATGTCCGATTGGTGAAGCTCATCGTGATATGCTGGCTGAAAATATAGATGAATTATCAAGGTCTTTTGTGACGCAACATAAAGCAAAATCTATCTATGAAGAAAGATCATTCTCAGATATGCATCCTAAAAATGTGCTTAGCCGCAGTAAGAAACTTAAGATTCCAAAGGCCAATAGCTTTGAGAAGCATCGAATGGCTCCCCAAGAAGTGAGCAGCCTGAATATAGGAGTATGGCTCGAAAATTTTAATGCTATTCATATTGAAGTGTGCAATGAAAACACTGCCAGCAATGTTCAGTCTGCAGTAACATCAGAACAAGATGCCAACATGAAGCCTAATTTATTATTGGCAAGAGTTCCTCTAGGCATACTTCTTGTGTCCCCTAGTTATCTAGATGAATTGGGATGTGAGATACTGCTACATTATGCTGCCACCGGTGAAACTATGCTAGCAAAGGAGATACGGAAATTAAAAGATCACTATGGTTATAGTGATTTAGGAGTCTTGTTCCATAGTGATCCAAGCAAATGGGCACTGAAAGGTGCCTGTCTGGTATTTAATTTGTTAGACGTAATAGAGGACATGTCAATAATGTTGTTCGACAGTGAAGATAATCGGATTGGTTTTGTTAACCAGATGAAAGGCAAGGCTGGTCGGTTTTTAATCCGGTGCCTCAGAATGTTGCTTAACCACCAGGAGATCGAGATCGATGGAGTTGCAGTAGGAGACATGATGTTGGATGTTCATCATAGACTGCTGAAGTGGAATAAACTAGGACTAGGAATGTTTGAGGGATACAAGGAATTTGATGATTTTGTTGGTGAGCTCTCCAAAAGATGTCAACTTTCTGACTGATGGTATGAAGAACTGATGAGGCTACCATGGCATACTGGTGAGGCGATGATCAGAAATGTGTGGGTTCCTATGGATGGAAGTCTTTTAAGAATTGGAAGCAATTCAATCAATCAAATCAGACATAGTGTTTATATAAACTTTTTTCTAGCAAAAGTTCAAATCTCCTGATAGTTGAAGCCATACTTATTGGCTTTTGTTGGAGCAGCAAATACATGCATGCGGTCCAGTTACATGTACATAGGCTTCTCCATGACTGTCAACCAGAATGTACTTCAACTAGTGATCAGATGAAGAAGATCTAACTTGTACATACTATTTAGTGTTTTATCTAAGAACTTATATTTGCAAATCCAGGTTGATCATATTTTGTGCCCAGCTGTGTTGCTTCTATTCTTGTTGAATCTCATTTCACGGTGCCTTCTGAACTTTGACTTATCACATTTGAAGGTAGATTTTACTTGATACATAACTTCAAGGACTATCCATTCTTTTGCACTAACTTCGGCATTGCATATCCCATATGCATTGGTAGTTGTACGAGACGAAACTACAGGTCTCATTCCCAAAGATTCAGAAATGTGGAGAATGATGAAGATGATAGTTGATCTTGTCGTCCCACAAGTTATAGCTTCATTTGGTAAATCCTAAGCTTGACCAACTTATGTTTCTCCATGGCAATGTCTTTATTTTTCTTTTCATGAATTTAGTCCCTTATTTGTGAGTAAAACTTGTTACGTTGATCCTATGATGTATGTACAATCCTTTACCAAGTGAGTAACCCCTTTGCTCGTTGATACTTATAATTTAAAAAATTACATCGATATCTCTATAGTATAATTATGAAAATAAAATATCTAGATCTATTTATCGTAATGTCATTAGTTTTACTTATGAAAATAAAAGATAAAAAGATAATTTTAACGTTTTAGTTGGTGATGACGGACAACTTCGATGGTGGTGGATAGTGATATCGTTGAGGGTCACGAGTGATTGTCGTAGATGAGAAAAGCGACGATGATATGTGAGAATCGCTTTGTATCAGCATCAACGCCGACGTAATTGAGTGACTTTTTTCGTTATTTTGCATCTACATCGACGTTGACGTAATTACTAAACAACCAAAGAGTCGTTAGACAACCATCACCCGCGGCCCCCAATGACATCATCGTTCGTCATCACCGATATCGTCCGACACTATAAGTTAAAACGTTAAAAGTATATTTTATTTTTATTTTTTTGATAAAATCGACGTTGTTTGGATAAATAGTTCTGTGTTCAACTCTTATAATTATAATTATAAGAATGTTAATATAAATATATAGATCAGGGTAAATAGATTAACTAGGCTCGGACATCTAAGCCGGGTCAACTGTAAACCAACCCGGTGACTAGTTGGACCGGCACGAGGGGTTCGATGTACGTCGACATCCAACTCAACGCAACCCGCTTTACCCACGGTACATCACTTGTGCTGCATTCCCACTTCCCGTAACTTCTCCGACCTCTCTCTCTGCCCGCTGTCTCCGAAGCAATCGAGGCGGCGGCGGCGGCAACGAGGGTCCTATTACTCCACCGCACGTGAGTTCTGGTATCCTCCCTCTGTGGCCGGCCGAGGTGCGCCGCCGACCCTCTTTCTTGTCTCTCTTTTTCATCTGCTTTTTATCTCCTCTGTGATCCGTGTACGATAAGAGGAATTAGGTGTATGGATCCCTGATGCAAGATGTGGGCACTAGATCCCTGATGCTCATCTGGGTTTGTTCCCTACATTGACAAGAAGATTGTTGTTTCAAATCCCTTAGAATGTTTTCTTACGTTCCTTATATTGTCTTTTGAGGATGAAACTTTGACTACTGTGCTTGAGTCATAACCCATCTTTAGGTTGACATTCTTGACCAGAATTGATAATGTCAACTCAACTCAGATGAATTTAAGATTACCCATCGGTGTGCATGTTGGATCCAGTCCAGGAGACAGCTTCCGGATTTGCTAGTGGGTTGGTTTTTGTTGATTTGTTACTTGTGGGGCTTTGACCCTCGGGCCATTGAAGTGTACTCTGCAGCTTTCTCTGGCTTACGTCATGATCGTTTCCAGGTGTCTGTCTTTCTGGACCATTGAAGTGAAGCTGGCTGCCTTCAAGAGTTTGCTGAATAGTCATGTGTACTATGAGTTGCCAATATCATGGGCTGGCTTTGGAGTGGAGGATATTGCTACTAAATTAAGAACAGTCTCAGTGTGCATAACTTCATCCATCTGAACTGCCAACTAATTAGGCCAATCATAATCTGGAAAAGAAATTTGTATGACTAGCAGGTAAGCATAATGATCAGCAAACAACTTCTTCTGACTTATCTACTCATTTACGTTTGTCTCTATCTTGCAGAACAAGGTAAGTTAATTCATGTGTGATGAGTTACTGTTTGCAGTCAAGTCTGGAAACTCTGGTGCTTACCCTCTTTTCTTTTGTTATGTTTCATAGGTGGCCTGTTCCTTTGATGAATGTTTTTACATTGGATTGAACAACATAAAGACAAATTAACAATGATTTTTCTTCTTCGTAACAAACATTTGGATATGTATTTTTACTAATCACTTAATAACTTGTTAGCTTTTGATATATGACACTTTGAGATTTGTCTGAACTTTTAAAGTACAATTTGGTGAGTTCTCTATGTTTGTATCAACAATTATGGGACTGAGAATGTGCTTTAAATAATGTCAATTTATTGGCAATATGGAATTAATAATTGAACCAAACTTTGATTACAGTATATCATAAGATGCATGTTGCTTATAGAAGGTTGATTGCCGAAATTGTAGAAAATTTTCTTCATGTGGCTCAGTATAGAGGGACAAAATTAAAATCCGATGGTTCTTGCATAAACAGAATAAGTTGATAACAAAATCAAATAGGTCACACTATACTCACACCAGTATAGTGGGACGAAATTGAAATTAGATGGTTCTTGCCGAATCAGAATAAGTTGATAACAAAATCAAATAAATTTTCATGTCAGAATTCCTCTCCTACAAAGAGTTAGGATAGCCACTCTGCAACCCTTCAAACTGCAACATCGTGAACGCAAAGAATTTAGGGTCTATATCCATGTCAGTTGATGCAACAGTAGCAAGTTTTACGTCTGAACTCATGCAATACTTTTGTCTTTGCGGATTCTAGAATGACTATCTCTATCTTCAGCACTTAATTCAGAATCTATTTGTTACTTCGAGTCACTGCTAAGGTTGAGTCGAAAACCATATTCCCACATTTGAACACATGACTTGGTGAACATAAAAAAGCAGTGATCAGCAATTTCTTTTCTCAAGCTTTTAGGTTATCCTTCTTATTTGACAACGAAATCTTGCACAAATCTTCCACGATTTACTTCACCACCAAGAACTCGATCCGGCCAATGTCACCAAAACCCTCTCCGCCTGATTATAATAACACTGATTCATCATCTTCAAGTAAAGCCAAGAATCAAGAATCAGGACTCCGTCGCCAGGTTCCACTTCCTACATCATCCTTTTAACATAGAATGCAAACGTTCTTCGTTGAACTCACTTGCGACATAAATCAGCAACACAGAAGCAAAACACTACTTCCTGACCTCACCACGAATCACTCGATCAGGCCAACGTGACCAAGATCCGCTTCCCCTATCAGATCGTAAAAACAGAACACGAGAAGAACTCCGCACCGCGCAATCGTTTCATGGGGATCACAACTTTACGTGATAAATTGTTTGCAAATTTCTACAAATCCTCCACCACTTTATATCATCACAAAGGAAAGAAACTCCTCCACGCCAGCGTCATCAAGAAGAGCCTCTCCGCCCTCTCTATACTTCGTCCCGATCATCAAGAAACACAGCATGAATATTCATTTCCTGGAATCATCTTCAATGAGAACCAAGATCCAAGAATCGAAATCCCACTTCAAGGCTTCATCGCGAGAAACTCAATCAGGCCAAGGCCGCTCAAGATCCCCTTCCTCCATCATCCTTTATCACGGCATCCGGCATTCTTTGTTGAAATCATCTCCCATTCAAACCAAGAACCCAGAAACGAAAGCCTACTTCACCACAAGAAAGTTAACGTGACCTAGATCCGCTTCCCCATCACCGCAATCACAACCGAATCTCTGAAATCGCAAATTTAAGAGTCAAGAGTCGTTCGAAAAGCCCTAAATCGTACAAGAACAACAGAATGAAGACCAGAATCGCAAACAACAAGACAACCTTGCGATCGCAACCCTAAGACGGATCAAAGAGAGGAGGAGGATGGTGAGGAGAAGAGAGCAAACCGGCAAGAGAGGGGACGCCAAGAGAGGTTATGGTCGGTGAACCGGTTGATAGAGCAGCACGATCGGTGCCTTCCACCTTCTTCCTCCGCCCTTTCGCCACCATTCTTCTCAGCTTGAGTCTTCCCCGCCCCTTTGCGGAACGACGTGTCCGACCACCACCGCCTCGCCTCGCGCGAGGGAAGCAGCGGATTTATAGCGGATGAGACGGTGGCTTCCGTTACGAAAATTGACTTCGTAACGCCCGAGACGTTGCATTCTGGCCGCCTCGTGTAACGGAATAACGCTGCGTTATAGCCTCGAAGAGTGACTTGATTCTTTAATCAATTATATCTTAATCTAAATTCGTTCTCAGTCAAAATTGGTCAAATCTAATTATCATCAAAAACATATATATGTATATATATACCATTATAACTAATCTTCAGCCCTCCAAGACATATATAGTTATATCCTTTTTATTTAGTAATTATCTTATTTATTTACGTAAAATTAAGTACAGTAGACGAGAATAACTTTTTTATTTGCCTCTAAATAATTTAAATTTAAGAAACGAGGAGTCGGCAATGGGTGAAAAACACAAGGGACATTGCGACAAACGAGAAGTCAAACACTATCTTTGACTATGTGAGTTGTCAACCTCTACATTGTGATACATGCATGCCAACCACACTCTATATGGACTGGATGTATAGTTTGACTGGTAGCAGACTGTTCCGGGTCTCGTTCAACCACAATTCCCTAGGAGAGATTGTTACGTGTCAACTACAACACTCGATGCTTGCGAGTCCGAGCTCAATATAATTTCTTCAGCCTTTCTGCCCTATTCTCTCTCAGGAAGAACAGTCTCATGTCAAAGACTGCACAGGCTTTAGGATATGGGTATATAACTTCATCCACCTCTAGTCTTCTTATCTCAACCTGAAGCTGTTTCAGATGGTGTTCTCTAAGAGTAAAGAATATACAGAGAGAGAGAGAGAGAGAGAGAGAGAGAGAGAGAGAGAGAGAGAGAGTAGT